GTTGAGCAGCTGCTGTTAGGGACTGTGTTCCAATTCCAGTAATTTTGAAAAACATTAATTTCTGAAAGAGAACAGGGAAAGAAAGAATTTATAGTCATGAGAGAGGGAGTTGATTCGTGAATATGGGTGACGAATATTTACTTTATACTAATTTCCCGTATTTAGTTAATAATACAAGAGTAAAATTAAAGTGAGTTGAAGGAGTTAAACGTACAGTAAGTAGATATATAAGTGTAAATTCAGGCATGGCAGGACAGCCAAGTCCTCTGGCATATCAGAACTCATAGATAATTCTCAAGACCTAGAAAAGCTCATGTGCCGGAAGTGTTATCAGTTGTACAAGTTTAACCTTCAGTTTCAGAGCTTGAGCAGCAGCTAGTCAATTAGGTGCATTTGTGATGCAGAGGACTATGAGGATAGCACATTCAGAGAGGTGATTACACTACATTAGGGGAAAACAGGCAGGCGGGGAACAAGTAATTGCTAGGCAGTCCAAGAGAAGCAGGCAGATAGTGCCGGAGACCTCAGAGTTCCATTCATTAACCAGTTTTCCATTCTGAATATCAGTGAGGATGATGGATACCTGAATGAGTATCACAGGTGGGCCAGCTGTACTGGAAAGGAGAAAGAAGATTGGAATGGCAGAACTGATAGGGAATTCCTTAGTTATGGGATCAGATTGGTATATCAGCAATCATGTCATCAATGTGACTCCAGGATGTTTTGTCGACTCCCTCACGCTAGGGTCAGGGATTACACAGAACAGCTGCAGGACATTATTCAGGGGGAGGGGTGTGCCAAATAGGCAGTGGACATAGCTAGCAATGCGGATTATGATTCCTGCAACCGGAATTAAGACAGCTAGTGGAAAATTAGCAAGTCAGACCTCTAAAGTAGTAATCTAAAGTAGTATGCAGATAGCTCTAAAATAGAGAATAATATGTTAATAGGTGGCATTAGAGTAAGAGAGAAGTAATTAAGTATAAATCAGGGTTACACTGCATGTATGTGAATACACAGAGAATAGTTAGTAAGATTGGGGAGTTACAGATTACCTTGTGTGATTGTGATGTTGTGGCAGTTTCAGAGGTCTGGTTTAAGGAAGGCCAGATATATGTGTTAAATAATCCTGTTTAGATGCTATTCAGAAAAGATAGAAGAGGAAAAATGGATTTGGGCCTTGTGGTAGTTTGATTAAGGAGAACATTGCAGTATGGGAGAAAGGGTATTTTTCAGAGGGTCCAAGAACAGAATCAATTTGGCTAAAGCTAAGGAATAAGAGGATGCAATTACATTGCTTGGTGTACTGTATAAATCATCAGCTTGTAGAAAGGATATAGAAAAACAAAACTGCAACAAATTACAGAGGTATAAACATCATGGAGTAGTTATAAATTAGGACTTTAATTGCCTGTATTTGAACTGAGACAGCAAGCATTGTATCTTAAGTTTTAGAATTATAGTCGAAAATGATTTGGTCAATCCACAGTAGGAATAATCAATTGGTAGAGAGAAGACTTCATTGAAGTGAGAACAGACCTGGGCCAGATAGATTGGAAGCAAAGGTTGTTGGAAAAATACCCAAAAGTTAAACTACATTTAAAGAGAACATGGTTTAGCACAGTCAAGGTATATTCCCTTAAAAAGGAAAGGTTGGACATACAATCCAGAGCTCCCTGAATGACAAAAGAAATCAAAATTAAATTAAAGAAAATGTGTGCTTATGTGAGGTATCAGGTTGTTAATGGAGTTGAGAACTAAGAGGAATAAAGAAGACTCAGAAGGAAGATGAAAAAGCAAATATGACATTCAAAGGGAGGTCATGAAAAGAAATGATAGCTGACATAAAAATAAAAGACAAAATATTCTATAAGCAATCAATAGCAAAAAGGTGGTAAAAGGAGGAGTAGGGCAGTTTAGGGTCCAAAAAGGGGATTCCCACTTTCAGCAAAGAGGCATGTCTCAGATTAGACGTGAATACTTCTCATCCGGGTTTAAATGTGAGGCAGATGCTGCCCAAGCCATGATGATAGAGGAACAAACTCAGTTACCAGCAGGCTTTAGAATTGATAAAGAGGAGCCGTTGGATAAACTGCCAGTATTTAAAGTTAACAAGGAATTGAGGCCAGATGTGATGTATCCAAGAAAATTGAAGAAGTAAAAGTAGAAATTGCAGAGGCGCTGGCAATAACTTTTAACCTCCCTGGATACAGGGGTGGTATCAGAGGACTAGAGATTTGAAAGCATTATACTCTTGTTCAAAAAACGTTGTAAGGATCAGGCTAGCAATTACACACCAGTTAGTTTAACTTTAGTATTGTGGATGAATACATGTGGATTGTAAGGGTATGGCAGGGGGAAGGACGGGAACAGAAACTGCTTACACAACCAGTCAGTACCCTCTTCTCATCCAGCATAAACTGTTGTTTCCTTTGAGTCATGGCTTCTTGCAATTCTATCCTGTTGAGTGCATTTCTCTCTTTTCAGCAATACTTAAATGCTTCAATTTCCCTTATTCCCTGTCCTATTATAAAGTTAGAATTTCTAATGGAATTTGATCAGACATTTATTTTAATTGTTTATAAGACATAGGTCAAGAGTGTGATGGAATACTCCCCATTTGCCTAGGTGAGTGCAACTCAAACAACAAGAAGCTTTAGCATATCCAGGACAAAGCAGCCCATTTGATTGCTTAAGTCAATCAACATTTTGAAACATTCATACCCTCCATCACCAATGAACAGTGGTAGCAGTCAAATTGTAGCTGTTACCAATTGATGACACATACCACACCCTGAATTGGAACTACTTCAGTGCTGCTTCACTGTGGCTGGGCAAAAGTTCTGTAACTTCCGGCTGTCTCGAAAGGATTGCACCCTTCAAAACAGCAACTTATCGACAAGGGCAATTAGGGATGGAAACAAATACTGGCCCAGAACTGACACTTCCCAATATTGTACTGGTTATTGAGGGAAAATTAGATACTGCTTAGATTCCAAGTTCTTCTTGCTCTGCTATCTTTCCTTCAAATGTTCATTATGTTGAGATAATACCTATGTACAATTTAGTACAAAAAATAACAATGTGCTTTTTAGTAAGCAGCAAGGAAGCATTTGTTCTTCAAAACCTTAATACAGTATTTACGTTATTGTATTCTGTATAGATTGTGGTTTATCAGATTATTAATAATTATCAGATTATTAAGTGGACTGGAAAATAATACTGAAAATAAATAACATTATATCCATATGTGTGTGATGCACCCATCTTAGTCTCTAAAGTATTTTGAAAGTATTTTTCAGTGATCTTCCTATTTTTCATCTATCAGCCATTAGATGGAATGTATTGGTCCAAATGAAGCATAAAGTATTAATCAAAATAAAACAAAGGACTGCAAATGCTGGCAATCTGAAACAAAACCTGCAATTGCTGGAGAAACTCAGCAGGTCTGGGAGCATCTGTGGGAAGAAAGCAGAGTTAATATTTGAAGTCAGGTGACTATTCATCAGAACAGTTCTGATATAGAATTGCTGAACTCAAAATATTAGCTCTGCTTTCTTCCCACATGCTGCCAGACCTGCTGAGTTTCTCCAGCAATTTCTGGTTTTGTATAAAATATAAATCATTTGGAAACAATTGGAAAGAATTTGTATCACAGAGAATTTTATTCACTGTTATGAAATAGCTCTGTGTTCTTCCATTACTGACAATTTGCTGCTGGAAATAGTTTATCCTTGTTTATCAAAACAACTCAAGACTTTAATTGCATCTCTATTAACTTTCCCTTTAACATTCTCTGCCTTATGAAAAACAAACCCAGCTTTTGCTAGTTTCACAAGTTCATCAGTTGACATTTATGCAAATCAAATTTAATTTATCATGTGTCTTAACAATTTCACGACTCTATATCCTCCAGTAGTTTGCCATTGTTCTGCTCGCTGTTTAATATGTCGCCGAGGGTTATACCAGCTGCAACTGTATAGTCCAGGGCATTTATGTACAACTATAACAATGGTTCCATGGCTGACCAAGGAGCTTGTAGTGCGTAGTTCTCCAGTCAGAAGAAACGTCTGTTCTCAATATTTTATCTCTGATGCCTCAGTCAGTCGTGCACCCACTGACCCATGTTCTTTTGTTTTTTTTAAATGCATCTTTTATGGGACACTTTTTCACATGTCCTTTGAAAGCCAAAGGTCTTCTGAATTGGATATTAAACTGTTTATTTCTCAAGCTGTTATCATTCCTCAGCTTTACAACTATTACAGCAAAATGTTCACAACCGATAAGAAAACCAGAGTAAAAGTGTGGATGCTGGCGATCTGAAACAAAAACAGAGATTGCAGGAGAAACTCAGCAGGTTTGGCAGCATCTGTGGGAAGAAAGCAGAGTTAACGGTTCGAGACCGGTGACTGTTCATCACAATCGGTCAGGGGTCAGAGTGGTTTGTCCAATGGCTATCAAGGACAATCATATTTTACTCACTTTTAGCATTGCTGTCCAAAGCATAAGGATCATTGTAACATAAACGCTAAGGTAATGTATTTATCAATGTATTTATTTGAGGTTTTCCCAAATATGCCTTCTCTTTGTATTAGTTGCAGATTCCAATGTAGCTATATCGGTAAGACTGCCCGCAACATAATTTTAGAAGGTGGATCATCCCAACCTTCTCGGGTCCAATTAGGAACAGGAATTAAATACTGACCTTGCCAAATACACTCACATCCCGAGAAAGATTTTTTTTTTAAAAAAGGCCTCGACAACTCATTGTTAGGGACAGCTCGGAGAAAATGTATCAAAATTATCAGATTGCGCTGGTCAGCGAAATCTCACAGTTAATGGAAACAATTTCTCCTCCGGAGCTCGGCGATCATCTCATTATCCAAATGCTCTGCTTTCCACGGTCTCTGGGTGTTTGCTCGATTATTCCCTATTTCTGTTCCCTTTGTCTCCCTGCCCCTGACTGGGTGAAGCCGGAGCAATCCCTTCCCTGGAAATCCAGCCCTGTGCTTGCGATCCACCCGCCTCAGCCTCAGCTGCACCGAGTCGCCGGGGACTGGAGGCTTTCGAGGGGAGACAATGAGCGCGGCGCCCGGCAACGAGAGCTCTCGATCGGCCGCCCCAGCACCGAGCGGAGCCGAGGGAAACCTCCGGGCGAGAGACAACGATCCTCTCTACATCAGGAACAGCTCCTTCAGGAGGAACTCTCAGACCTCGACGGCAAGTCTCAGCCGTGAGATCGGCGCCGCTTCCAACATCAAAGCCCCCCGTCCGGCGTTCATCATCACTTCAGGAGAATTTCTGCAGCACAGCTCAGACTGTACCAGTAGCCCTGGGCCACACTCCAGCACCAGGACCATCTTCTATAAAGGCCTCTGCCTCCTGCTGCTGCTGTGCCAAGGGGGGCTCCTGGATTTCTACCTGATCATTTTTACTGACCTGTACTGGTGCTCTTGGATCGCCACCGACCTGGTGGTGATGGCGGGCTGGCTCATCTTCTTCATCAAACACTCGAGGCGGAGAGGAGACGCCGCCAAAGCGGCTCCCGACAGTGGCCAGTTCGCCTTCTCCTACCTGGCCTGGCTCATTTATGTCATCGCCTGCACGCCCAAAATCGTGCTGATTCTGGAGACCTCCATCCTCGACCTGATTGAGCTAAAGGTTCCTCTGGGCACCACTGGCTTTAAGATGGTGGTCCTGTCGTCTGTGCCCTTGCTCTACACCCTCATCAACTCAGTGACTGAGGAGCTCAGTTGCCAGAGCAGCCACCGAGCGCAGAATTACTACAGCCGAACCTGCCTGGATCTCCTGGACAGTTTCACTCTCATGGAGCTGGTGCTGGCCGGCCATATTCCCAGTGTTTACCTCAAGTACACGGTCACCACCGTCTACTTCGTCGCGTTTTTCATCCCGGTTCTCTGGCTCTATGAACTCAACTCGTTGCAGCTACACTACAAGTGTGTGGTGTTCCGCTTCCTGTCCAGTTCCGCTGTCAATGCCCCTCTCTTGGTGGTCAGGTGCTTTCTGGTCTTTATTTATGACCAACAAGTCTCGGTGTTCCTTTTGAAGAATGTCTTTTGGTTGTGTTGTGATTGTGCTGAGGTCCTGGAGAGATGTTGCAGTGTGAGGCGTGTCCGTAAGTACTCGAGCCCTCCCGTGCAGTTTACACATTGCATTTCGGAGAATGAGATGTGTGCACATGGATATGTGAACACCCTGGCAGTGACAGCTCAGTCCTAGCAGCAGTTGCGGCTGACCTTTCAATCCAACTTGTAGGGATTTATTGTTACATTTTATTCTTTGTAAACTCTTTTGTACCGGTATTTGATTATGCTTTTTTGAGGATGCTTTTTAAGTGTTTGTGTATCAATTCGTATTGGTGCTAGTATGCGATTTCTGCACAACGAGTTGGGTATAAGAAAGCTATTTTTCTGGACCAGCTGTGCATTATGTCAAGCTAAGACATTCCCTTTATTTACGCTTGCAGTCTGATTGGTTTTGTGAATTGCCTGCCTTAGTTATTCACTTTCAAAACTGGAGTATGCAGTTTATATCAAGTGGACATAACCATAGTAATAAATGTGGGGAGGTAGTTTCCCTATCAGGCTTTAATTTTAACCGCTGGGACTCTGTCGTGAACTTAATCGCGATATGCGAAGGAAACGTAATGTTTAACGCGGTGTAGGTTTAATTTTGACTTCCAGAAGTAAAGTGGACTGTATTTCGATTCGTTCAAATTCCCAGGTGGTCTGAATTCACTTAGACACTGCAAATGCAGTTGTCAACATAATATAGTAAAAAAGTAGGTCTCTACAACAAACCAGGAATTACAGGGATTATAAAAATAAGTTCCATATAAGAAATGCGACTTCAGTGATTCACCAATTTACTAAATGAACACAAATCAAAACTGCTAATATCAAACTTAAGCACAAATCATTTGCACTGATGAGACACATAGAATATAGAATACAGTTAACTTTGAGGGTCAAGCGAAGGCATTTGAGGATATTTATACCAATGCCAACTATACAGGTCTGTCGGACAATAGTGAAAAGAAATGAGCGCAAGTACACCATCAGCTACTAGTTTATAGAGCTAGTTACAAAATATGCAAATATGTTTGCAACAGGGTCAAATGTAAAATATTTACCTGGAAAAAGTTTTATTTTAAACAAACTTACCAAAATGGAATTATTTCACCTTCACAATATTTCATGAGCTCAAGTTACAGTCATTCTTGTTTCGTATTAATATTCACACTGTCAATTTTGCATTTTACCAAAACCAGTGTTAATGAACATAAGTTTTTAAAAAGCCTTATATAATTTGAATGCTTATTTTGACTAATTGTATTGTATTTTTCATCTGTGATTGTAGAAGTTTTGTAAGGAAGTCACACTAATATGTTCAGAAAAAAGCCTTTTTATATTTGTAAAGTGTTTTGCACAGTTAGTATTGAATGTCTACGAAATTATGTATGAATCCTTTTAATATGTAAATAAATTTGTTCTGATTTTAATTTTGTTCAATAATGGAAAACATTTATAATTTGAATTTTTTATATGGAGAGATTCATGGTGTTGAAATAATGAAAATTGAATATTAGGAATAAAATTGGAACATATTGGAAATACCTAGCTGGTTTGACAGCATCAGCAAAGAGAGTTAATATTTCAGATCTTTGATCTTTCATCCAAACTCAGGTTCCCTGCTTTGGTGTTCCTCTTCATCCAAAAGTGCTAGAAAATGCTATGGAAATATGCAGGCCTGAAATGCTGAATCTGTTTCTCTCCCCACAAATGCTACCAGGCTTGCTAAGTATTTCCAACATTTCCTATTTTTATTTGACATTTTCATCATCCACATTATTTTGCTTTTGAATGAAAATACAGGATTTTCTTTTACAGCTAATTTACTTGTTAAATAAAGTGGAAAACCAAAGCAGGAAACTTGAATTCAAAGCCATTGTATCACACAGTGGTCTCATGATACTACTTTCTGCACCTAAAGAATATTCAAGACCTGAATATTCTTTATTTGATGGTCACAAAGTCTCTTTAGAGAAGTTTTTTTCTATACAAAATTTAGGGCCTTGGACAACTGTTTGTGTGTGTTTGGAAAGCTGGACGGCACATAGATTTGAATCTTCTCTGCTGGCTGTTGGGATCCTATACTAAACATATTTGGGATAGTGTATCCCAGAGGGCAAAACCTACAGCTTGGGAAACGAGACTGACATCTCTCAAGCAGTGATCGGAGCAATCTGTAACTTTTAAATTTCTTGCCACATGTGTGTCTGCCTTTTTCATTGACAACATTAGACAGCACCTGTGGTGAGAGTAATGGCTAGGGAATGATGATGGAGAGGGTGTTCTATGGGAGAGAAGTAGAGGGAAGTAGTTTGGGAATTGAGTTGGTTTGGAACAGGCTGAGCAGTGTTTAGAGGAATAAGATCTGGGACAGACATCTCGAGTGGAGAGGAGGGATGACAACCAGGGATGGACTGAAAGGATGAAGGAAAGAGATGAGGAACAAGGGATAGAGATGCAGGCAGAGATAGATACATGAGGGAGAAGAGAGACTGGGGAGAGAGGAGTGTCACAGGCTGGTAGGGACGGGAAAGAGGTGAGGCAGGAAGAGATGAAGGAAGAGATACAGGAGGTGTGGGAGAGCAGGGGAGGGAGGAGGGTCAGGAGGTAAAGAAAGGAGGGACTGAGAGAGGGGAATTGGGAGAAGCATTTGAGGGGAGAGAGGAGGGACAGGGAAGAGGATATGGGGTACAGTGCAGTAGGTATGCAGAGAAAGAAAAGTTGTAGCGAAGAGAAGGTGGAGGGAGATGGAGAAGAGAGATGGGATGGGGAAGGAGTGTAGGGGCAGAATGGAGAGATGGAGGAGACAGCGTAAGGGAGAGGGAATTCGTTAGGAGACAATTGGTTAACTAAAGAGGGAATGGTTTGGAAATCAGGGTAAGAGGCGATTGAAGTGATTAGTGGGAAGGAGTGATCCAGGTGGGGAAGTAACTGGGGAAGGGAGATTACTAGGTAAAGGAGTGTATCTGGACAAAAAGGATGAGTTAAGAAAGAGGGTGAATGGAGAACGAAAGACGACAGGGCAATGTGTTCAGGAACATGGGAAAAGGGGCTGCTGGGGAATGAGGTATTGAAATGGGGTTGGGAGAACGGAGGGAAGGGAATGAGACTGAGCATGGAGTGAAGAAGAAGAAAAAATAAGGGATGGGGAAAGGAAAGGTGTGTATAGGGAGGGAGGAACTGTAGAGAGAGGAGCTGTAGGGAAGAAAGGAGTGGCATTGGAGAATGGGGGCTTGACAGAGGATATGAGACAAAAACAGTTGTTTGGAGATCACTAGCAATGAGCTGGGTGAAAAGCTGAGCAGATGGATGCTCAGGTGATTGGAAAATGGTATTTGGAAATTGGAACTTGTACTGGGGGATGTGAAAGTGTCAGGGAACAGAATAGAGTGAGCCTGGGCCTTGGCATTTTCTGCAGAACCAAAATCAGCAGCGGCAGTTTTGTGTGGAATTTCTCCATTTGCAAGTTAAATTGTTTTTGTCAAAAGAGTTTTATAGCATCTGGTCCACCATAGTTTGGAGCATATTTTCTCACACGGTCTTCTGCTCTTCACCTTTATTAATCATGGAACTGACATCCTTCTCATATCTATAGCCTGGTAAGAAAGATAGAAATACACGTTACTTCTGGGATCATCTGATGTTAATGCCACTGGTGTTGAGCTGCACCCTATTTTAGCCAGAACGGCCCCATCACATCCTGATACTGAACCATACTGGCACAAATAGGTAAGCTCACACCCTGCATTCCAGGCAGGCATCTGGAAGTTTTGGAGGATGAGAGGATGGTCAGGAGGGCAGTTATTTTACAAGCTGACTGCCACAGCAGGCCATTACTCAAAGTCAAGGCAGCCTGAACCCAGATAGCAGCCAGCGTCAACAGCAGGATGGTTAATAGTAGAGGCAGAAAGTCAATAATATGTGATCAGCATGGGTTGAGTTCCAATATCTTCTTTCTGCTGGCTCACATTCACTGGGCTATAACTCACTCTAACTCTGCCACTGCACACAAATTTCATGAAAACTCATAAATTACAACTTTCACTATTCACATATCGTGTCCGGTATGGCTGTCATCCACCTCAACTTCCCAACCAACTCACTACTAAACCTTTCTGCCCGCTGTTCTTCCTATTCGTTCACTGGGGACATATCACCACCACTCTTTGTTTATCACCACTAACTGCTCTTCCATCCACTTCCATCTCACTCAATCCTTCCCATTGTCTCATTGCAGGAAAAAATGGTGCATAAAATGGCTGAGAGGATCAAGACAGATGGAGGTGTGAGGTGGCGGGAATCAGGCTTCTCACTCCCTTTGGGAAGAAAATTGTCAAATTAGCTGGAAGAAACCTGACTGCTTATGAAGGGATAAGGAAGCTTCAATGGCCAACCAACCCAATAAGCTTCATTATGGTGTGCTGTACCGCTTTCATATCACCACCAATGCTTTCTCACTCTGAATCTGTGCAAGTTTTTATCCTTCTTCAATAACTAATTCCTGTTTGCACAGGCACTAGGGGCAACCAATGTAATTCCACTAAGAGGCCAGCATTGGAGTCTCTCAGCTCCACCTCCACCTCTGAGGAGGAAGCCACTCAGCTCATTAAGCATGTGTCAGCAAGCTTTTTTCCTACACCACCACCACCTCAGAGAGCTCAATACACCCCACTAAGGACTGCCAAAGACCAGACAACTGCTCAGTCTCAGGTAGAAGACGATCCCATGGTTTCACTCATTAATGGCTTCATCAAAATGCACAGATGGTCACAGGAACAGCTGGCAAGTTTACCAGAGGTACTCATAAACTGGACTGAAGGTTGAAGGAGTCCAACTTGCAGATGTTCAAGCTGAAGAGGGTTAGCCTACATTTGGGACAGGAAACCCTTAGCATGTTAGGGCCCTCTGTGCCCAAAGACACCTTGGAACAAACACCCAAGTCTTCCAGGCCCACAGAGCAGCATCCCTCCACCTGAATTGTGTAAGTTGAGACCACACATGGATGTAATTGGAGGCACAGAAAGAAAAAAACTTGCTAATGCTACATTGGTGACACACAATTATAATTAAGTTTTCATTTTTGTAAAATTGTCATAGTGTAATTTTCACTGTCAGGCCTGGTTAATTGCACTCATGTAAGAGATGATT